TGCACTGGTGGGAGGCTGAATGAAAGTAGAGCAGTCAGAACTCAAACCAGCTTGTATAGGGATTACTGGCATTGCAAGTGAAGGCTTGACATGTTATACCACCACACACCAGTCCCATTTTTTATTTTTAAAGATTTGTTTATTTTATTTGAAAGGCAGAAAAATTTTCCACTCACTGATTCATTCCCTAATAGCTATAAATTGGAGGTTGCTATGATCTGCTCCTCACATTTGATGATTTGCAAGAATAGCTCATAGTATTCAGAGAAGCAGTGTCTTACTAAATTACCCATTTATTGTGAAAAGACCTGCCTCAGGAATATCAGCTGATACAGGCCAGGCCTGGCGGAAGGGGCTTGGAACCTTCCGTGCTATCTCCAGATTCTCCAGCCTCCTCACCTCCACGTGCTCACCATCTGGGAACCACTCGGGACCACGACTGTGGGTTTCTGTGGAGGCTTCATTAACGTGGTGGATTAAATTATTGGCCACGGTGATTCTGTCCCCAGTCCCTCCTTCTCCTTGGAAGTGAGGGGGCAAGTAATGAAAGTTCCAGTTCTCTACTCACATGATCAGTCCCTCTGGCAATCAGCCGCCATCTCTAGTGGCTTTCTAAAAGTTGCCTGATTAACAAACAGGTGTGGTTGAAAGTATTATTTTATGAATTTCTGTGCATCTAATTAAAATTTGGTTTTTCGCTTGTAAATCAGTTATTAATTTCTTTCCTAGACACAGTCTTGGAACTTTTGGAGGTAGTTTTTCTCTCCTTTATGATCATAGCCCATAATATGATGATATATATTATATTGTGCTACAATAGCTACACAGCTAAAAATTTCACAGCAGTGTACGTGACTGGTTACAACTCATACACTGTATGAGCTGATTTCATGAGATTTACTATTAGGCTGTAATCTTCATTTTTTTTCCATTTTGTGAAAGAATAACTTACATATAATGAAATTCACCTTTCATAGGTGTATAATAATTACATGAACTTTTAGCAATCTTTGGAAGCCAGCATCATTGGGCAGTGAATTAATTTGCCACCTGTGCCATCAGCATTTCATACGAACACCATTTTGTGTCCAGGCTACTTTTCTTCCGGCTCCCTGCTAATGCTCCTGGGAAGGCAGCAGAAAATGGTCCAAGTTTTCAGGTCCTTGTCATTCACATGGGAGATTCAGATAGAGTTCCAGGCTCTTGGCCCGGCCTGGCCCTAGCTGTTGGGGCAATTTGGGGAGTGAACTGGCAGATGGAAGAATTCTCTTTGTAACCTGTCATTCAAACAAATAAAATAAAACTTTTTAAAAAAATAATAAACTTCATATACTTATTTGACCACATCAACTTATAAAATATTAAACTCCAACATAGTCCCCCAAGCCTCTTGTGGTCAGTATCTGCTTCCCAACCCAACCCCTGGCAATCACTGATCTGATTTCTAACTGTGGTTTTTCCTTTCCAGAAAGTTGCACAAATACAGGTAGAATCATGCACCATGTAAATTTCCGCACTTGGTCTTAGCGAAAAAGCCAAGAAGTGATACACCATGTAAATTCCTGAGGCTGGCCTCTTTCACTTAACAGTACTTTTGAAATGTCTTACAGTGGTATCAGTAGTTAGGTTTTTTTTGGTATTGCTGAGTCATATCCAGCGTAGGGATATACCACAGGTTATTTATATTTTAGTTCTCAGGTTTATCCAGTTATGAGTAAAGCAGATATAAACATGGACCACATGTTTTTGCATGGATGCACATCTTCATTTCCCTGGGATAAGTATCTACTTGGAGTCTCATAGGGCCATTTGGTAATTGACTGCCAAACTGTTTGCCACAATGATTATGTCATTTTGCATTCTCACAAAAAAAAGTACAAGTTACCACTGTTTTGTGGGCTCATTTTTCATTGATATTGTCAGATTTTTTTATATGGGCTATTGTCATCTATATATCTTCTTTGATGAACTATTTGTTCAGTACTTCACACACCCCTCTTTTTAAAAAAAATCTATTTATTTTTATCAGAAAGTCAAATTTACAGAGAAAGATCTTCCATCTGCTGGTCCACTCCCCAAGTGGCTACAATGGCCAGAGCTGAGCTGACTGAAGCAAGAAACCAGGAACCAGGAGCTTCTTCAGGATCTCCCACACAGGTACAGGATCTCCCACACAGGTACAGGGTCCCAAGGCTTTGAAGGCCATTCTCAACTGCTTTTCTCAGCTGGAAGAGAAGTGGAGTAGCCAGGACACAAACCAGGGCCTGTGTGGAATCCCGGAACATGCAAGGCAAGGACCTTAGTCACTAGGCCACCATGCCAGCCCCTCCCCCCTTTTAAAGATTTATTTCTTTTAAAGGCAGAGTTACAGAGAGAGAGAGAAAGAGATCTTTATCCTCCCCAAATGACCACCATGGCTCCAAGCCAGAGCCAGGAGCTTCTTTCTGATCTCCCACATGGGTACAGACACTCAAGCATTTAGACTATCTTCTGCTACTTTCCCCCCAGGCCACTAATAGGAATCTGGGTCAGAAGTGGAACAGCCAGGACTTGAAGTGTTGCCCGTGTGGAATATTGGCTTCCCAGACTTAACCACTGTGCCACAACAGCAGTCCCAAGTGCTCACTACTTTGGCCAGCAGAAAAATAATTTAGGCTCCCATCCAAGGGTTTCTAGAAATGCCCCATGGCCGCTGACCACTTCCTCCATCCACAGTGCTCTGAGCACTTGAGCACCAAAGCAACAAGGAAATATGGAGTCTGCTGCCCCCAAACTGTCAGGTAAGGCCTGCAGCTTCTCTAGTACCTGAGCCAGCGCATTACTGAGCCTCCTTCCAGAACCAAGGGCTGAAATCCAATGTTATTGATAGAGAGGGGCAGACTGTTCACTAAGGAGAGATAATGATGTTATTATCTAGAAAGAAGACTAGTTGCATGAGAGCAGAGTCCTGAGAAGAAAGAACCGGAAGGAAAAAAGAAGATTCTGGAATAAGTAAGGACGTGGCCATTCCTGAGTCTGCTTCCTATCTCTCCAGCTGCCTCCAAAAGGCAGCCCCCACACCAGTGTCACCCCTTCCATGGCAGCTTTTTCTATGTTTACATTCTTATTAATATAATGATAACAGATTCCACATATTTCATAGGTTCAGTTCTAAAAAGATAACCATACTTCCTCCTTCTTCTTGTCCTTCCCTCAAACCTCCTCCTTCCTTCCTTTTCTTTAATTTTTGCAAAGACGTAATTTCAATCCACTCTATAATTACAGGTATAATGCACCACCCACCATAATATTCAACAAGAAAAAGTAGAGACCTCCCCCATGGTCTTGTAGCTCTCTGCTACCAATTGTGGAACTTCATCATGGACTTGCTTCTCATAAGACACTGCAGATACTTAAGCCTGTTCTGCAGCATCAATGTGCTCTCCTAAGGGCAGGCATTTGGTGCAGCAGTTATGATGTTGCTTGGGAGACTGGTGTTGTGATACAGGGTGTAAAACTGCCGCCTGCAATGCCGGCATCCCATATAGTCTTCCATTCATGCCTCAGCTACTCCACTTCCAATTCGACTCCCTGCTAATGGCCTGAGGGAATCAGCAGAAGATGGCCTGAGTGTTTGGACCCCTGCCATTCATGTAGGAGACCTAGATGTAGCGCCTGGCTCCTAGCTTTGGCCTGGCCCAGTCCTTGCCATTGTGGCCATTTGGGAAGTGAAATGGTCCATGGGAGATCTCTCTTCTTGTCTCTCCCTCTGTTTATAACTCTTTGGAAAAAAATGTATATTTAAGATTTATTTTTTTTCTTGGATAGGCAAATATACAGAGAGAAGGAAATACAGAGAGAAAGATCTTCTATCTGCTGGTCTACTCCCCAGGTAGCCACAATGGCTGGAGCAGAGTTGATGTAAAGCCAGGAGCTTCTTCAGGGTCTCCCACACAGGTGCAGGGTCCCAAGGCTTTGGGCCATCCTCAACTGCTTTCCCAGTCCACAAGCAGGGAGCTAGAAGGGAAGTGAAGCAGCCAGGACACAAACCAGGGCCTTTATGGGATCCTGGAACATGCAAGGTGAGGACTTTAGCCACTAGGCTACCACACCAGGCCCATAAATAACTTTAAGATGTTGCTTGGGATACCCACATCCCATATCAACCCAGAATTTGAGTCTGAATCTTGGCTCTGCCTTCAGTTCCATCTTCCTGCTAATACATACACAACTACTAAGATGTTGGCTGAAATATGTGGGTCCCTGCCATCCATATGGGAGACCCAGATGGAGTTCCAGATTCCTGGCTTCAGCTCAGCCTATCTTCAGGACTTATTTTCTTATTCTCTCTCTCTCTTTCTCTCTCTCTCTGTCTCTCTCTTTTTTACTTTGAAATTAAGGGGGTGAGGAAGTGTCCCCTAAGTCTAGGAAAGAATTGCATAGGGACCCACAGAATTAACCAGGCAGCTGAGCATCCATCTCTCATTCTGACATGCCCCCATGCTCTGGAAAAAATATCTCAAGATGTCTCAACGTAAACAACCTCTTGAGTATACTGACATAAAAGTATTTGCCACTCCAGTGGAGTGGCTTTTGGGAAGTCCTCCCTCTTAGACCTGTTCCCACAATGGATGATGAGCATGCTTTTAGTAAGCTACTTGATGATGTACCAGAATCCATTTGTCATCTACTTCTGCAGCTCTTGGTTTGTATGTTTTGTCAAGTGTGTGTATTCATTAGCTTTCATTATGCCAATGAAATACATGAGGCCGTACAACTTCTTACAGCAGATGGACTTATTCTGGCCCAGATTGTAAAGGTTCATAGTCCAAGATCAAGCAGAACCCATGGGTTCAGCTCTCTAATAAATCTAATGTGCTTTCCATTCTGTGGCAACTCTCCCTCCTATCCATCAGGTATTAGTTCTAGGATTGTAGGTTTGTTCTATAACAAGAACCAAGAGCTGTGACTCTCCAGATGTGGCCCAGTACTAGTCATTTTTCACTTTTCATCCTCTGTAGGAATACTTCCCAGCACCTCAGCCTCCTGCCATGTCTGACCCCATCACATTGAATGTTGGGGGGAAGCTCTACACAACCTCCCTGGCTACGCTGACCAGCTTCCCTGACTCCATGCTGGGTGCCATGTTCAGTGGGAAGATGCCCACCAAGAGGGACAGCCAGGGCAACTGCTTCATTGACCGTGATGGCAAAGTGTTCCGTTACATCCTCAACTTCCTGCGGACCTCGCACCTGGACCTGCCTGAAGACTTCCAGGAGATGGGCCTGCTCCGCCGGGAAGCTGACTTCTACCAGGTGCAGCCCCTGATCGAGGCCTTGCAGGAGAAGGAGATAGAGCTCTCCAAGGCGGAGAAGAACGCCATGCTCAACATCACACTTAAGAAGCGTGTCCAGACGGTCCACTTCACTGTACGCGAGGCACCCCAGATCTACAGCCTGTCATCCTCCAGCATGGAGGTCTTCAATGCCAACATCTTCAGTACCTCCTGCCTCTTCCTTAAGCTCCTGGGCTCCAAGCTTTTCTACTGTTCCAATGGCAATCTCTCCTCCATCACCAGTCATTTGCAGGACCCCAACCATCTGACCCTGGACTGGGTGGCCACAGTAGAGGGCCTGCCAGAGGAAGAGTACACCAAGCAGAATCTCAAGAGGCTGTGGGTGGTGCCTGCAAACAAGCAGATCAATAGCTTCCAGGTGTTTGTGGAGGAAGTGCTGAAAATTGCCCTGAGTGACGGCTTCTGCATCGATTCTTCTCACCCCCATGCTCTGGATTTCATGAATAATAAGATTATTCGATTGATACGGTACAGGTAAAAGAACCTCAGTAACACCAGAGTTGGGAGGTCCCAGGAAACTGCATGCCAGCTGAAGGCTTGCAGTGTCTCACCAATGATGTGAGACAGGGGACTCTACTAATCTTCATTCATTACATAGCAGGACTTGATTATCCCCAGGATGAAATCCACCTTTTGGAATTCACATGTCCTCTAACCAGAGCCACCTTCTTTCTTGCCATTTTGAGCCAGAGATTGACAGTTCATGACAAGGGAAGAGTCCACTGAGGTCCACTGGAGGAGGCCCCCAGAGGACTTTCTGGCCAGGATGAAGGAGCAGCAGTTTCCTCATGGGCTCTAACTCTCTCTCCTACCAGCCATGCCCCATTTACCCATCTGCAAACAGGGTTTCTGCTGCAGAGGGAATGGAGTAAGAACAAGAGGCTCCCTTCTGTTTCCCAGGACTGAAAGTACTTGGTGTCTCCTGTTGCACCTGTTCCTCCCTCCCTAGGGATGCATCCAATGTCTGGAACTTGTTTACCCCGGACAGTCACATGTGGCCAGCCTGGAATGCAGTGTGCTCTCAGAGCTCTGCTCCTGGTCCTGCAGGAAGACAGCTGCACCATGGTCTGGCCTGGAGGAATGAGCAGGCTTCCAGAAGGTGGGGCCATCCCTCTGGATAGGCTGAACTGAGAGACTTCTGGTTGTAGAAAGGGCTTGCTGTCTCTATGAAAATGTGCAAGTGTCTGGAGACAAGATAAGGAAAGGCACTTCGTCAGCCAGCCAAATGCCCAACTTTTGTTACCCTTTCCCCATGATTTGAGTTATCCGTGAAACAGGTCAATTTAGCCGAAGTTTTTAGGAACTCTCAGGGTTGGAAGATAACTCAGTGGTTGCTTGGTGGTCCCACGGCCCTGGCACACCCAGCACTTTCATGCATGCCTCTGCCTGAGCATCTCTGAGTGATGGCCCAGGCTTGCCTGTACACCTCTGGAGATTGCTGTGTCCCCCAAGGATGCAAGGTGCAACTGTTGGGAGATTCTTCCTTAGGTTAAGCCAGAATCTGTTCTGCCACTTCCCCATGCTGGATCTTGGCCATGGCCCTGCCTTTGTATCCACATGTGTTTCTTTGCCTTGAAAACAGTCACTGTGAAAAGCCAGACACTTCCTCTAAAGCATTATTCAGAAAGCAGATTCCCCTTTGGGAGCTGCTCTAGCAGCTCAGTTTGCTCTCTTGCACTCCTGTCCATCAGTCCCCTGTGCTATGCCTTCCTCATGTGTGTGACCCTCACTGCACCCACCTTTCCCACCAACCGTGGCTCCACCTGCCTTTTAACCGCTTTCTGCCACCCCGAGGAGCTCCTGTGCAAGGAGGCAGGGTCTTGGAGGGCAGTGTGCAGTGGGGAGCACAGCAGTGGCCTACACCATAAGCCCTCTTTTGGAGGGTATCCAAGCCTCTCCATCCCTGTGCCCTCCCCTGATGCAGTCAGAAGTAGGACAGAAGTTAGGTTATAACAAGCCAACACCCAGTGCAGGATGAGCAGTGCAGACCTCAAACCTGCACATAATCATGACTGATCCCTGGTATGGGCATGGCCAGGAGTTCCATAGTCTTCCCTGCTGGGCAGGGGTTCTCAGACAAAGCCGAGGTAGCCAGGCGGACCAAGGAAGGCGCTGTCTGTCATTATACCCTGAGGCAGGAGCTTGTACCCTGTGCTGTGGGCAAGACCAGGTCCCCTAGAGACTTAATAAGGGCCTCTTCTTCCCTGCTGTGAACCCTGGAATCTCTGATAGCTGTCGCAGGCCCCCATTCTCGATGGCATTCTAGAAAGACCTTCAAAGAGAACCTACTTTAGATCAGACAGCAGAAGTTGCAATCTCAACAAAACAATCTGAGAGAAAAAAACATAAATCACCACTGCCCCCCTTTTTTTCTCTCTCTAAAATGCCTCCTTTTCCATCTCTTTGGTGCTTCCTAATTCAAGCAGCTTGACTTTAAGAGAAAATATGGAGCCTGCAAAGCCACTAACCTGCTATGTGACTTGGTGCAAGTCACTCAGCTCACTGAGCCACCCCCGTTTCTTCATCTGTGACATGGGCATAGTAGTCATACCTAACCCTACCTACCTCACAGGGCTGTTGTGAGGAGCAAATGAAATCATGTATGTGACAATACATGAAAAGTGGGTACTGTGATTTTGTATCTTCTTAAAGGGGGAAAAAACAAAGTTCCAGCCTAGAATGACAGGTGGCTCAGGCCTGAATCCTGGGCTCATTGCGTAACTCACCAAGCCTGTCCAGTTTGTGTCCGCTTTGGATCATCCCGCTATCTTCCAGAGTTCAACCTTCATGAGTCGGTGGAGGTGGGAATCCCTCAGCAGACCAGGTGTGTGTACGTGTGTGTGTGTGTGTGCGCGCGTGTGCACACACAGTGTGCTCTCTTGTTCTCTTTAAAAAATGAACATAATAAAGAAACATTCAACAAATGATCTTGCAGGAGGTGTTCAGGTGGCCTCCATGTAGGAGGACGATCCCAGCAGGAAATGGGTTAGCAACTCTTACAGAGCATTTGTGAGCAGCCACAGACCATTCAAGTTCAGCCGGGAAAACACTCGGGAAAAGATGCCCTCCTCAGATCGGGCTTTGTGGTGGTCAAGTTGGGTCTTTGGGGGCAAATTGGATTTTGACAGAATAAGCAAGGTGGGCATGGAACAGAGACCAGCAGGCAGGCAGGCAGGCAGGCAGGCAAGATAGCAGTGGCAGAGGAAAAGTGGACACACATGCAAAGCCACAAGATGGAAGTCACAGTGGGGACAAAGGCCCCTCAAGCCCATGTCCACAGCCTTCCACTGTGTGACCCCACAGCGCCAGCCCAGCACCCATGGGGACTAGGTGAGTGTTGGCTGGGAGATAGGGACAGGTGTTACATGGGTGGGCCTCCACAGGGATCTCCCATGGCTCAAGTGGGCTTATTTCAGTACCAAGCTTGTCTCCCAGCTGAAGGAAGGTACACGTCAGCTTGTCGGCTCTATTCCTGACCACAGGTGGGGGCCTATAGGGCAGTGAAGTGCAAGGCATGATTTCTCCACATGCTTCCTGGCCAGCAACAGCTGCCTCCTTGAGCACCTCAGGACTGCTGACAGTCCCTGGCCCTTCTGTGAGCACTCAGACCCCTTGCCTTGTCCCACCCATGCAGGGAAGACTGAGGTCTTGCCTGTGCTCCATGCTGAAGTCCAGGATACCACCACTGCTAGGTCAGCTGTGCAGCCTGAATCACAGTTTGTGTAACTGCCCATTTATTCACTCATCAGTTCCAGATTTCTTTAATAAACTACTCCTCAAACAGCCTGTCCTGAATCAGAACTCAGTATTGGGCCAGCTGCTTGGTTCATGTAGCCAGCCAGAGTCCCAGCCCATCTGTTTCCTGAATCATATCTTTTCACATGGACTGCACATATGCCTTCCTGGGGCTTAGGTACCCAGTGGGCTCAGGGATGCTGGGAGTGGCTAGTGCAGGCTCATCTCAGCACAACAACCATACCCAGACAGCCTACTGACATCAGTCTCCTTCAGAACTTCAAGACAAACGGAGGTGGCGGGGGGAGGAGTAGAGCCAACAAGATAGTCTGGTGACATGCTCACCCCAGTCTGAACCAAGGGGACCCCTAGAAAGAAGCCAGCCAGAGCAGAAGCCAGAGGATCACTGAATATCCTTGGAACCTAGGACCCCCACCTAACACAAAGGGTGACAACAGCCTGGCTCTGATTCTCAGGGCCATGGCTCTAGTGTACCCAATCTTGAGTACCCCTTCCCTGGTCTCACTTCCCACCAGCTTCCATGCCCTCCCCATCCAATGCTCAGGACATCTCAAAATCCTTGTCAACATTTCCCACTTTGCTGGCAGGCCTCAGTGTTCTAGCTCATTTTCTTCCTCATGCCAGATTCCTCTCTCAAAGTCTGGGTTTCCTTTGAAAAGCTGGGTAAAGGCCCAATTGAGCCATATTTGAAATCCTTCAGGGAAGGGGCCAGCTAAAGAACAAAGGTTAATGTGCTGTGACTTGGGCACTCACTTTGTGTCCTGAACCCTGATTGGGTTGCTTTATAAATTGTGTATTGATTTGCTTAATAAATGCCCTTACAGAGTGCCAAACTCCTTCCTATCACACTTTTCTTTACTGAGATTGGAGGTCATGTGGCACTGTTTGGCACTTCTGTCTGACTGCTTTTACCACTCCGTCAAAGTAAGCATGTGCTCACCCTTCAGCATGGTGCAGACTTGATAGACTAAGTAGAATCAGCCCCTGCCCTCTCTGGGCCACCCTACACCCTAGGTAGGCTTTTATCATCATATTGCAGTTGCCCACAAGCAGGGCAGTACTAGTATATTTTTAGCATCATGTCTCCAGAGAAAAGCTCTGATTTGTAGTACCAGCCAACTTCCATAGCATAAATATTCTTACTGCTGTTGACAATTAAGTCTCCAATGCAGTGTCATCCCTGGCAGGCTGGGAAGTGAAGCATACAGTAAGTGGTGGAAATCCAGCATCAGTCACCATTGCTGTCACTGTGCTGTGCTAGTGACAACACACTGCTGTCTTGCTCTTTGGATCACCAAGTGCTCAGCACACAGAAGTGCTCAGGACACGTGTGAGGGATCTCTGAAGCCTCACAGATGCAATATTTTTCATTCTAGGATGTCCTTTCTTGCTCAAAATCTTTTCTTTAAGATACATATATATTTTGAAGGGTAGAGTTACAGAGATAAAGAGGGAGAGACAGAACAAGAGAAAGAGAGAGAAAAATCTTTCACCCATAAGCTTGCCTCCCAAATAGCTACAATGGCTAAAGCTGGGCCAGTCCAAAGCCAGGAGCCAGGAGCTTCTTCCAGGTCTCCCACATGGGTGCAGGAGCCCCAAGGACATGGGCCATCTTTTGCTGCTTTCTCACACACATTAGCAGGGAGCTGGATCTGAAGTGGAGCAGCCAGTACTTCAACCAGTGTCCATCAGGGATATCAGCACTGAAGGTGGTGGTTTTACCCACTATGCCACAGTGCCAGTCTGCTCCGAAGTTTTGCTCAAACTTTGCTCTACCGCACAAGAAAAGTACCTAGAGCTTCTAGTGCTTTACAGACAAAAGAGAGGCACAGGTTCTGAGGTCAGACTATATGGGTCAAATCCAGCTTTGCCACTTAATGGCAGTGTGACCTGAGGCAGGTTATTCCTCATCTGCGTAGTGTAGATAATAGTACATGCCTGTTGTGATGTGTGCTTTGCTTATGTTACAGTTCTTGTGAACATAAGTAAATTGCTATTCTAATTATGATTAATGAGACTATGCTTTGAAATCATTAACTCTGCATGAGCTTTTTTTCTTTTCTAAGATGTGTTTATTTATAGAGAGGGAAAGGCAGAGACAGAGACAGTGAAGTCTTTCACTTTTCAAATGACCACTATGGCCAGGGCTAGATCTGGCCAAATAAGTTTCTTCCAGATCTCCCATGTGGGTCCAGGGGCCCCAAGCACTTGGCCTATCCTTCGCTGCTTTCCCAGGCCAAGCAGAGAGCTGGATTGGAAGTGGAACAGCCAGAACTCCAACATCTACCCATAGGGAATGCAAGAACTGAACGGGGTGGATTAATCTGCTGTGCCACAGCTCTGGCCACCACGAGCTTTTTCTTACAAGTCAACTATAACTGGCCAAGTGGCTGGCTGACTGAAAAATCATATAGAGCAAGCACTATGTGTTGATGTCCAAAGGACATAGTTGAGACTTTTCATTCCAAGACTGGCATCTGAAAACTAAGATAATACACACTATAGGGCAACAAAAAATTGGTATCTTCAGACTGGCATAAGAGGCATATGTTGCTGTGACTCCACACCCTATGCAAATTCACTCAGAGCAGACACTGGCTCCCAGGAGTTCTGTTGCAGCCAAAAGCCCTTCCCTAGCTGCCGAAGGCTTGCTGGCCACCCAGACCTAAAAAAGAACATGTTTTCCAGGCCATCTGGGAAATTCCCTCTGTGGACACACAATGTTTAGTTCATTGTTAACACATTTTGCTCAAGTAATTTTCTCTTACTTCTGCCAATCTTTTCCTATCTTCTTTTTGCTTGCTTTGTTTATTCTGTTCGTGTGTGCACTGTAATAAGCCTGTTAATTCAGAAGCTAATTTTATATCGTTTGGTTTGTCAACTGAGTAAAAAATAAAAGAACCCACCCCTCTTAGAAGAGCCGCAGTCCTTGAGGTTAAAACTGTCATCAGGTAATGGGGACCGAGACTATCCAGCGTGACACTATCTCCTAGGGTTCCTGGAAGAATTGAGAAGATAGTAACATCTATAGTGACTGAAAGATGTCTGGAGTTTGTAAGTACTGAGTGTCTAAAACTATTCCTTTTACGATGATGATGTCCTTATCTTCCATGGCAGCCTCCTTGCCTACCCCCTCAGTTGTCTCCTGCACAGTCTATGTGGATTTCCATCTCCTGACCTTTGCCCAGGCCACTCCTACCACTTACAGCAATCCACCCTCTGCTCCCCACTGACTCGCATCCTATCCACACTTGATCTTAGCCAAAAGGCCGAGAAGCGATTTGCAGCCCATCCATACTCAGTGGACAGTCTCCTCACTCTCCACCCACCCTTTTGCTGTGCCCAACCTGCCCTAGTCTTCCAGTGTCCTCTGACTGGCATCTCCTTTGGATATAATAGATCCTATCTCATTCGTGGCCTGGGTTCTTCTTGACACCAGCTCACTCTCAGAGTGATGGTCCCTGGAGCTGTGGCCTTTGGCAGGTGATTAGGTCTTGAGGTGGCATCCTTAGAAAGAAGTGCCCTTATTAAAGGATCCCCAGGGGGCTCCTCAGCCTTTTCTGTCACATGAAGACACAACAACAAAATGATCATAAAGAAGCAGAAAACAGGCCCTCAGCAGACACTGAATCTGCCTGTGCTTTGATCTTGAACTTGCCAGTGTGAGAAACACATCTGTATTGTTTTAAAAATAGCATTTTTTTGGGCCTGGCGCAGTGGCACAGTGGTTAAGGTCCTCGCCTTGCACGCCCAGGATCCCATATGGGTGCCGGTTCTATCCCGGCAGCCCCGCTTCCCTTCCAGCTCCCTGCTTGTGGCCTGGGAAA